TGACTATTTCCAGCCGGTCTCCTCTCAGGCCGCCGATCGCGTAAAAAATGTTCGAACGATGGTGCAGATTTTATTCCCGCTTTCCCTGCTTCAAATTATGCGGATATTCAAGCATGTCGCCCTCGTCTGAAATTCAAATGCGAGAATAATTTTACGATCACGAATTCAATCGCACGACCAGATTATTCGGTTTCATCAAATTACCTTCTCCCTCATCTTCGCCCTCCGCTAGGTGAATATCATTCTTTTGCTGCGGTTCTTTATCGTAATCACCGCCGTCGTACTGATCATCGTTACCTTGCCCATCGTCCAGTCTAAAATAAAAGCAAATCTACTTATAACAAAATTACATTTTACTTTGACGTTATACAATTTATTGCATTATTTAGATATGTGCCTGCATAATTTCTATATTCGTACTAATAATTATACTGTTAAAGGAGCTACTTATTTGTATATTATTACACGATGGAAAAATTGGCTCACCCAGGAACTCGACCCAACTGATTAGGTTCCTCGCCGACTTCCTGCACTCCTGGTTCCATTTTAAACCAACTGTCTTTCGCTCTCCTCTCCACTATTTGCTCACCGATATGTCGCACGGCGGGAGGATTCGCGACGAATGGTTGATCTAGGTTGCCAGCTTCGACAATCGGTTCCTTCTCCTCTTTATTGTCCGCTGCATTCCCTGGCAGTTGTTGATTGTTATGAGCTGCCGCGTCGTCGCGCTTTTGGATCTCCTCCTGCTGTCGCTTCTCCTCGTCCGCGACTTTCGGCTCGATGATTTCCGGAATTGGCAATACGCCGACTGGCAGTTTGACCTTCAACAACGGTCTGGCCGGCGCGGCCTTGTCGACGAGGGACGGCGACACCAAGTTAGCATTGCTCGTCACGGTGGAGTTCTCCATTTTTCGCGAACTTGCGGAGACGTGCATCACGTTCTATGAAATATTTTTCACAATTACACACGATATAATACAATCATTTGATAGCCAAATGGAAACTGTAGCAATTATATATTTTTTATTTAAATATTTCTAATTATTTATTATATTAAACATTTATAGAACTAGTTACAACGATGATTTTGCAATACAGAAAATACAGATAAACTCAAAAGTTGCGTAATATTTACTTGTTAAATCAGTGATTAATTTTGACATTCTTTCTATATAAGTTTTTCTTTCATACGCTTCATATAAATTGCAAAAAAGAAATGTGAGATATAGATATAAAAAGTAATTGTGTAAAGAGAAAAAGTGTTCATTAAACAAGCAATTTATCAAATAATTGTGATCTACAAAGAAAGCTGTAAGTGCAGTGCATGACGTAGCAGTCTTATACATATATTTATAATGTATTCGGGTTAAGAGTTACATTATTTAGTAATTCAAATGCAATAAAAGTAGAGCTATACTACACTGCGTAAATAAAAACAAGCTTTTAGTTCAGAGGATCTTCAAGCATTCTTTAACCCGGCGAAAAAGAATAGCCTCAATCTTATGCAACGTAAATTAATTGGCGGCGTAAAGACGCAATATGCAAAAGCTAATAGTAGTTGGGTTGTTACGAGGTCGCCAATAAAAATGCAAGCGGATAACATAATAACAATTTATTAATGCATCATGGAACACAGATGTACAGGCACATTCAGGATTCTCGTGAACCATTATACATATACATAAATCGTCTTATTCCCATTAACAGAAGCAAATTTTGTAAAAAAGGAGAAAAATCCCTCGAAAAAGTTACACGAATAAAATTGCCACATTCTCTAAAATATTTAATAAAATTTATCCATAAATTACACAACAATAAAATTATCTATCTAAAGCTATGCAAACAGCACCATAGTTGAAAGACAGATACTTATAAAGATATATTCAAGACAATTTCTGGATGTTTTTGCATCTCTTAGAGATCTGTGTTATCTAAACATTGAATAAAAAGATGAATTATAAAAAAAAAGAGTATTGTATGGATTTTTAAAAAATTGTTAGTAAAATTTAGGATTTCTACAAGTGAATCGATATTTGTTCATTAATGCACAGCTAACATTAGTTAAAAACAACCAGGATTGAGTTAAATGCAAAATCTAACGAATCCCGTTATAGGGCACGTTATGATTAAGAATCCCATCAACCCTCTCTTGTAGACCTTGCAGCTCGTCATCCTCCGCGCGAGTTTTGATCATTGTTCGAGACGCAGCCGTAGACGCTCCCTCGACGGCAGGTTGTGCCAGCGGTTGCTCGGCCTGCGAGCCCGGTGCCGGCAAAACGCTGTCATTCCTCGTACCGTCATCCTCCCTATTCAAGGGTGGCGACATTACCTGTTTCCTTTGCTCTTCGTTGAGATCGTGCTTCTCCTTGAGTGCTACGTTTGCCACGTTCGGACGCTCGACGACATTTTTTTGTTGTTTCTGCTGGAAATCATTAGCGGAAGGCTCGCGCTGCTCGCCAATCGCCTCCTTCGTTTCGCTCGGACCGGCTGGAACGATGTTGCCGTTCTTCTGAACGAATCTAATATTGTTCGCTGGCTCATTGACGTCGTCGCTCTGCGTCTTTTCCTCCGGCAAAGCTGCTCCGGCATCCGCGCGATAGTTGCGAGATGCGTGTATTGACCACGGCGGACTTACCTGTTGTTGCTGCTGTTGCGGCGCCGGGATCGGCTTCGAGTCCTCCTTCTGCAATACTGATTGCGGCGCCAACTCCTTAAGATTCATCAGAGATGCGGTAGAAGGTGTACTTCTAGTATAGTGTTTCTGGAAAACATAACATTTATAATACTTAATTACGTCTTCATTTAATTGCCTCGATTCTTATGTATAACGTTAAACACTTGAAAAGAAATACAAATTAGTGCTGGTTTTGCAAACAAATTCAATTGTTTTCTATAGTATGTAATTATTCATTGTTCTCTATAAGATGGTATTAGTACATATTGTACAAGGTGCTCTTCAAGTACTCTTTAAAGACAATTAATAATGAAGAAAGGAATAAGAGCAGAAAGTGCGGTCGTCGAAACGAGAGAACTATAAATTTATCAATCGAAATATAAAAAATATTTTGGCGCGTAATTAATACAATAGTAAGTAATCACCTTATTATTGAAAAGATAATTATCACTTGTTTCATGCAAAATATAATTTGTTTGAATAATATATTCATTAATTATATAATTAAAACTGCATTTGTATGCAGCTTTTGAGAGAAAAAAACGTACTTCCTTAGCCAGTTCACGCTTGAGCTGGAAAACCTCTTTCCTAAGGTGCTCGATAATACTATTCGTATCGCCGTTAGCTTTTATCAGTTCGTTGTACTTGTTCTCGAGATTCGTTTTGTCCGTGTCTAGTTCCAGGTACTTGCTCTTCAAGTCCTCCAGAGCTTTTATCTTATCCTCTTGCGCTTGCCGAATGCGACCGCGTAGATCCTGTAGCGTCGTCTCCAATCTATTGGTCTCGTCCAGCGCCTGCTTCTCATGCTTCTTACACTCATCCTGCAGATCCTGATGCTCCGTCTGCAGAAGCTTGTAGGTCTGCTGAAGCGAATTGAACCTCTGCATCGCCTCCACGCTGTCCTTGTCGCGCAACGATTTCTCCCGCGACGCGCGTTGCTGCAACTCCTGCTTCACCGCGGCGTTCGAGCTTTTCTCCTCGGCCAGGGACTTCTCCAATCGAACTTTGTACTCAAATATAACTGAAACACAAGTGAATTTTACGTTATATTCGAGAATATATAAATGCATACATCCAAGCAACGCAAGTTCAATCACTAACCCAGAAATGAAAGAAACCGAAAAAAATATAGTATATCTATAATTTATGAAGTCTGCTGTAAATGATCATAAACAGTCATAAATCTTACAAATAACGGTCTTGTTTTTCGCAATAAACCCCTCCGATTGTAATATATGAGTGGGTTAGAGTTCTAAGATACCTGCTATATTTTTTTTACTTAAATAAAATACTAGCAATCGTGGATTTTAACTTCTCTTTAACTTCTAAACGGTACCTTTGTATCACGTGGCGTTGCTTACCTTGCAACTGAGCGGCGAGAGCCTCCTGCTGTTGAGCGCATTGTTCGTTTTGTGCCCGTAGCCTGGCCATCTCCGAAGTGGCGGCGCGGTAGAGGAACACGAAGAACAGAACCACCGCCCCGCAGCCCCCGAACACGGCCAGGCGGCCGCACCGACCTCTGCCAAGTCGCGAACCGCTCATCACTATTAACAAAAATTGCACGTTTATATTCTTTAGACGCAAAGACAAATCATATGCGAGGTTCACAGATTCAAATTGAGTCGTTTAATACAGTATACGTCAGAAGCCAAAATAACTGAACTAAACGAAAACAAAAATAATAAATAAGATTCAGGAGCGCCGAGAAGAGAGAAAGTAATTACTTCCAAAATTTTAACGTTTTCAGGCACAAATATCTGTATTTTTCTTACATTACATTACTTGTGCTCTTTAGAATAAAATAAAACGCAAAATATATTTTTACGATTCTTTCCTTTAACATGTAATTGCATATTATATAAACTATTATTTTAATAAAAAATTATAAATCTGATAAATAGATAAGAATAAAGCTGTTAATTTATAGACAAAAGAGATACCTTCCTAAGGAGATTATCGCATCTCATACCCGGTGTCTGTCCATTAGTGATCATTGCCTATTATCTTTTTTTGCCCCTTGAACGTGCGAATGATACAACTTCTCGCATTAACGCGTTCACTACGGAACTAAACGGGATAATGAGAAGGAATAAGGAGATAATAGACGTAAGTATAAACGCGGCGGAGACAAACAATAGAGAATGGGGGAAAGGAAGAGCAGGATCGCGGGGCTTCCAGCTCTTATCGGTGTAGTTTACGGCACAGCCTTGCTGGCTTCGTTCGACAACATTGCTTAGCCGTACATTTCTTTCTGTTTTCGTTCCTTTTCTTCTAAAACAATTTTCTGTTTTCTAGTCTTGCGGAAACAGAGAGAATGTCGTTCAACTTTCTGATGCCTTTTGTCCTCGGACAGAAATACACACAACTCGACTATGCGCATTTTAATGCTTTCATTTCTATGGAGTTACATTTTACTAAGAGAAGAGGACGGCACAAGGAGAAATTCAGACCAAGCCCCACAAAAATTTATTTGGATATTATAAAGTCCGAGACTGACATTACGGTAATTGAAATTTTTGCTATTCCTTTCTACCTTTGTCAATTAATTTAAACTTTCAAGAAAATTAATTATTAATTTTTGAAAAATGGGAAAAATATAAGATATTTTCTATTTTGCATTTAACATTTAATTAAAATAATGTATTGAAACTTCAAAATATCTATTTTTTCAAAGATTAAATATTCAATTTCACGAAGAGAGATTTTTTCAATTAATTTTGATTGTTAGAAAATGTCTGCAGTAATAATACACTTTAGAAATACTGTTCGATGTACTATGTCAATTGAAAAGACTCGTTATTCAATTTGTAAATAAATCTCTGATTGCAACGATTAAGTGCTCCATTTCACAGAAATGGATTCCTTTCAATTTACTTTAATTCGTCTATCTTTTATGTGATGCCTCCCACTCGTTTTCCGACCTAGGCAAATTAATGAGAAATTTCACCGGGGAGCACGAGAACGTGGCGAGGGGAAAGAGGGTAGGAACGCGGCGGGGTGGCGAGTAGTTGGCGACTTAGCAGCTGGATTCGAGTTCACTGACATTTCGGAGCACGCGCGATGCGAATCCTGTTTCGTTTACGAACACGTAGGCGACGGCGACGGCGACGACGTCGACGCGTCCGCGCGCACGTGTACCGTTCGCGCGAAAACGTGACGCCCGCTCGCAGCACATTCGGTCTGTGTATGCCTCTGGCATCTCGCCACGCCGGGCGCGAAAGCATCGCTCTCGATATACAAGATATTCCTTAATTGTGTATATATATATATATATACCAAATAATCCGAGACAAAAACAAATTTTTTACCAATACTTAAATGATTTCTTTGAATCGAAACAAAAGAGAAACGCTATCAATGCAGATCTAATCGTAAACGTTTATCAAAATATGATAAACTCAATCTTTGGATTAACAAATAATGAGCAGCAAATTTTACATAATTGATTGAATATAATATTAATCACTGTATTAAATGCATATAAATTACACTGAAATATAACCGTTGATGTTCTTTGACAGCTGTGGAAACACTGCGATAATGCAAACACCGCGAACGAATAACATGTCTATGTATCCATTGAATGAAATGTTGACATTATTGCCATTGTTAACATTGCAATGTTGGATTAACTACCGAACGTATATTGAGAAATTATCGTCATAGTGTAGCCAAACATATTGTAATCTTTGTTGATTATAATGCAAATAAGATTTGATGTGATGTTAATATTGATCCCATTAATTATTGGAAATCACAAATATAATAATATATATTTTTCTCTTTAAACTTACACAATTAGCCCTAAGATTCATTAGCAAAATATTTGTATTTTCCCTGAAATCGCATTCTGCATAAATATTAACAAATAAAAAATAAAAGGATGGTATTTTTTGTTCAAAAAAAGAAAAAAATCTTTTTTAGCACAATAATATTCATTTATTCATTAGTTGTATCGCAGTAACCACCTTAAAAGTCATATCAGTAAAGTCACATCCATTTATAACTGACACAGAAACCGTTTTGTCCACATTGAGTAAACTTTATGACCCACAACTACGTTATCTTATTTTTTTCTCATTTTTTCTCGCTACTTGTGGCAGCACATTATGTAATTAAAAATTACCTTATAGATATTATTGCTTATAGATAATTATGCACTTCTTAGATTTAGTGCCCGTTTGCGATGTGAATATCTTGCATGTGAATATCTCCATTTTTAATTTGTTCTTTTCTCTCGTCCGTTTTGTACATGCTTGTTTTTTTAAGTGCCTCAAATATTTAAAAAATGCATATGAAGGATATATCTATTAATTGATGACATTGTAACAATTTTACAGATACATTGTATACGTCGATCGCAATTACAAACAGGTTTTTTTAACCCTCGACTACGTGATTATATAACAATCGTAATTGCTAAAATAAGATAAATTAATTCAAGAGAGATAGATAGATAGATAGATAGATAGATAGATAGATAGATAGATAGATAGATAGATAGATAGAGAGAGAG